ACTAAAACATATAGGGATAACTTATTGTGTATAACTAAAATATATGCATCGGTCTTCGAGGGATACCAAATTCATAACTAAAACATATGCATCGTTCTTTGAAAGATACCGTAAAGTTCTCATGAAATAACACTAGAGATCACATGAATATTGTCTTAAGGGTTTTGTATTTCTATAAATATTTGTGTGAAAATTAGAAGATTTTAAAGTAAATTTTAAAATTAAAAACACTCGTTTGTTTCTTTGGTATATGGTTTCCCTAAGTATTTATATATTTGATTACATCATTGTCCCACATTCAAGTGTACAGTGCGGGAATCATCTGGTATAGTTGAATTTTGGTATGATTGATTGATTGAATGCGTGGCACTCTCTCCACACAATTCATCGTAATTAACGTCCACATTCTGACCGGACGTGGCTGCGTACTTTTACATCCCGCACAGGCAAACGGACACCCTACTTATGCAAGTTTTTTACTGCCGGACACCCTCGGGGGAATTTTGGCATGATGTTACACCTATCATCGATTTCATTTGTAAACGCATTAACCCGACATTCATCAACCAATATGATAAGACTCCATCAATCGGTTTTGAGTTTCTTCTAGCTAAATGTAACCTTGACTAGTTATTTTGACCGTGATTTTGCTCTTCAAAGGAAGCCATTGTAAGGCACATCAACTCTTGAGAAGCGAAAAAACAATGAAAATTGAAGACTTTCAACATCTTTTCTTATCAGACCTTTAATGAAATCTTTACATCTAACAAAGAATAATCTCGACGACACCACAATAATCTTTGAATCATTTGTTTTTTGTTAAATGATTGTATTTCAATGATATCAAACACGTAAAATACAATTAAAGCTTTTACTTGCCTTAACAATACTATTATATACAAATCACATTGTTGTCGGAATTAATACTTCTAGCTAAAAATAGACATATTGGCTTTGAAGAGAAAACAAGCCTCCAAAAGCTTTTAGTAAAAATTTTCAATAATGACCAAACAAACATGTGTTATTGTACTAAGATTAAAAACTTATATCAAAGATGCTTTCAATACTGACTTTTTTATTCAAATATTCATTCAAGTGTCAAATTCACAAAACGTCAACACGAGAGATTTTCATTTTACCTCTCAAATGTCACGGTTAGGAAACGAAATTACAACCCTTTGAAAGACGTTATATGTGTATAGAAAAAAATATTCCACACAAGTTATGAGATATAGAAAAATAAAGAAAGAAAATGCACAGTTCAGTTTGTTTTGTAATCAATCACAACATTCCTCATAACTGTCTGCACACACCACAACTTCGGCTTTACAATGTCCAGTGCCTTAGATTACTCGGCCAATTCGCTGTTTCAGAATCTTATGAACTCTGGGTGATATTTTCGCAAGCGTACACGAAAACTTTGTGATTGGCTGTGAACGTCATGAACAATGGGAATTCAACCAATGACGTGACGTAATTTTCATTTTGGGTACGAACAATGAAATTACCAACAATCCTTTAGATTCTGAAACGGCCAATTGGGATATATAAAAAATATAAGTTTTGTTAGTCGAGTAATGAGTTTTCTCGGCGGCTTCATTTATGGTTGTAGGACAGTACGTGATTAAACATCAAGAAAACAAAATCAGTCAGCAACCCAACAATACAAAAAGACCTACACCTTGAGGAAATATATGTCTAACACTAAAACACCCCCAGTGTAGATAAATAAGTAAGAAAACCCCTTGACTCTAATATATATATATAGAATAGACGTAAGAAATACAAGGTGCAAGTCAAACAATTATACTAATTAATATCGTATCAATAATATCTTTAATGTTCATCTAAAGGAATTGAAAAAAAATTGTGGTGTAAGTAGGCCATATTTGCTAAAAGGTTATGCTGGACCTTAACGTTCATGTGGAACCTATGGCTAAATAGGCTGTGTTTTCACCTGAAAATTTAATCTGAATACAGACAAACCTGTATATGTGGAAAAGTTTTAAGGCATAGCATGCCCTAGATAAATAAAATTAAAATGCAGTTTATGTTATATAAATCAAAAACATAACTGCAGTTTGCAGTGCACTTTTTTTCGTTCCTACAGAAGATACCAAATTAAAGTAGGGAAAGAGGTTTGAGAACTTCCCCATAGGTAATAATTGAAGTGCACTGTATTGAGACGGACAATAGAAGGACAATAAATACCCGACGATAACTGGTGATTTAAACTGTGTCACTGAGTGAACCATATCAAGTGAAACTCAACTGTTTGTTAATTTTATCATCTTCTACAGGGACGAAAAAAAGTGCACAGCAACATCCAGTTAAGTTTTTAATTTATAAAACATCAAATGCATTTGGATTTTATTTATCTAGAGTATGCTCTGCCTTAAAACTTACCAGATACACAGGTTTGTCTGTACGCTGAGTAAATTTTCAGGTATTTTTAGCCATAGGGTCCACATGAACCTTAATCACGGAATGCAAGCAAAATGTATTTAGCCTGCACATAAAGATTACATGACTTCTTTTATCATGAGGCCCTCGATTGTACTATCAAACTAATTTCCACAGCGATGTTAAAAAAAACCAGACAAACATTTTATTGTGCAATGCCAAAAGTTTTGTATTACATTTACAAAATTAATACAAATTTCGATTGGTTGCCTTCCCTGACCTACTTACCAATATTTACCTTTCCAATCGGTGGGAGAGGATAAATATAAAAAGATGTGGTATGATTGCCAATGAGACAAACTCTCCACAATAGACCAAATGACATAGAAATTAACAACTATAGGTCACCGTACGGCCTTCAACAATGAACAAAAAACATGCCGCATAGTCAGCTATAAAAGCCCTCGAAATGACCAATGTAAAACAATTAAAACGAGAAAACTAACGGCCTAATTTAAGTACAAAATAATGAACAAAAACAAATATGTAACCAAGCAACAAACGACAATCCTATGAATTACAGGTTCCTGACTCGGGACAGGCACATACAGAATGCGGCGGGGTTAAGCTAGTTTGAAGGCGCCAAACCCCCCCCCCTAACCTGGGACAGTGGTGTAACAGTACAACATAAGAACAAACTATAAAAATCAGTTGAAAAAGGCTTAACTCATCATATGGATACAAAAAAAAATACATCTAACAAAAACACAGAGTAGACGTGGACGGGTACTTGTACATCCCAACAACAAAAAGACACTTAGCGAAGATCTGAGTGTACTTGCAGTTACTGACAGCTAGTTAAAAGCCAATAACAACTAATAAAACAAATCATGCATTTAAGACTAAATAATCAAACAGTACACATCCAACATCCAATGGATTTAGTGTAAAGACGTCATAAACAGGCAGAAAAAAAATGACCTTGTGCAATGCCAAGACACAGGTATCGACAGATTGTAGATTAATGATAACAAAATCAATATTAACACCAATAAAAACAATATTCAAAGATCTAATTACAGTGTTGAATTGGTAACCTTTTCGAATAAGTTTATTTAAGGATCGATAAGTTTACTCGGATCGTTTCTAAATTTCCGGGCTCGGAAAACAACATCTCCGTAAAAATGAGGATGATTTATCCCGTTTGAAATAATTTTTCTACAGCTACAACCAAACTTCAAAACCAAATATTTATATCTATGGAAGAATTTAGTAAAGGTTTTAAGTATTTTGTGGTAACGGAATCCCTGACTTAATAATTTACCAGTAATACATAGATTAAAATTCAAAACGTCACAACAGACACGGGCATAGCGAACGAGCTGTGATATATAAACACCGTAAGAAGGTGTCAAAGGAACATCACCATAAAAAAAAAGGAAAATTAACAATAGGGAACGACAAATCGTCCCTTTTGTCGTAAATTTTAGTGTAGAGTTTCCCGTGTAAGACTGAAATATCTAAATCTAGGTAAGGACAGTTATTAATAAAGTTTAGTTTGAATATCTTTTAACTGCTGTTATTCCTAAGCCTCAAGTTGACAATAGAATGATAGAATCCAAATATAAAACTAAATGTATGACCTGTGTTTTTTTTATAGTATAGAAATCTAAAACATTAAATTAAAAAGAAAGCGCCGAAATGAGACAAATTATTCCATATTGATAGAACTTTAGTAAGTTTTTTTTATATGAATTGACTTTTGAATAAAACAGCATATATTCACCTGAGCAAAAAGTATTGTAACAGCACAAAACTTCGCGTGCTTTTACGTGTATAATTAAGATAAAACAGTGTGATGTGCAATTGGCCATGGATTTGGTAAATAACAGTTATTAAATACATTTTTTCTCTCTGAATACGGAAAAAAATAATTATTGTCTTTTGCTTAGGTAAATAGGCGCTAAAATTGGCTTTGGAAAAACTGACATTCACTTCGGCTGTTCCCGCAGGGAATATTAGTTTTTCAAAAGTCAATGAAACCACATATTTACCTCATCAAAAGACCGTAATTGTATAATATGTTCACTCAAATGTAATTTCTATAAATGATCTGACGTCAAACTATCTATATTTTCCTACAAAAAAAAAATATTTCAAGCTGTTTGAATAATTTCAGATATAAAATAGAAAAAGGAACGGATATTTTAATAATATGTGATTAGAATCAATCTCCTCTTTGATGAAAGCCTTCGTTGAAATACATAGCATTACGATGTTAAGAATTTCAACCATCCAATCCGATAGTTATAACACTGTAAGAAAATTACCAGCCTTCATGTAAAAACTTTCGTCAATAGCTACCGGATCTTCACGCTATAATGAGAGGTGTAAGAAAACCATCATATACAGGCGTGTCATAGGTATGAAATGTTACTGTCTTTTAAAAATGCTATAAGTTTTTGTTGATTAACGCATGTGGCTTAAAGAATCGATTTTCCAAGAAATTATCTGTTTTATATATCAACTTCTGTTTACACAGTTATCATCAGTGTTCGATGTATGCCAACGACGGGAACGCAATCACAAACGAAACAATGTTCATTCATGACTATGAAACAATATTAATGATTTATAGTGAATACAGAGCTAAGAAATGGATTATTACATACATTCCACCGGTCTTACTTTTTATTGGAACTTTCGGAAATATTTTTTCTTTCGTGATTCTTAGAAAATCTATGATGAGAGTCTCTACATATTTTTATTTAGCGGTGTTGGCTTTGGCAGATCTAGTAGTCTTATACCTTGGTCTTTTACGGCTTTGGACAGGGGAGATAACTGGAGTGGATATAAGGAATAAAAACAACTGGATTTGTAAAATTACAATTTTCCTTACATATACAATCAGCGATTTTTCCGTCTGGCTTATTGTTGCTGTAACTGTTGAACGATATATAGCGGTGTGTCATCCACTGAAAGCTTCAATTTTATGTAGCGTCCAGCGAGCAAGAATGGTGACTGTATCAGTTTTACTTATTCTTATTGCAACCAATTCTCATTTCCTTTGGACCGTTCACGTGTCGGATAGATCATATTTAAATGAATCAGCTCGGTGTGAAGCTGTGCCAAAACATGCGTTTTTATTGAACCAAGTCTGGCCTTGGGTAGATACTGTTCTTTATTCCTTTGCACCTTACATTTTACTTTTTAATTTGAATTTTTGGATTATAAAACAGGTGCTCTCTGCTAAAAAGTGTCGCACTCAGTTACAAAACTGCACATCAGGCAGAAACAATCATTTACAGAAACGTTTACCGAGTGAAGGATGCATCAAATTAACAATTATGTTATTAGCAGTATCGTTTTCATTTATTATTACTACATTTCCTGTAAATATTTATCTCATTTTAGAATCATTGTGGAAAAAAGAAACTGGACTCCGGCTTCTCGCCCGACAAGCATTGATATCAACGATTGCCGAACTTTTAATGTATGTTAATCACTGTATAAACTTTTACCTGTATTGTGCAACAGGGAAAAAATTTCGAAATCATATTGAAAAACTTATTTGTAAGTTTAAAACCTACCGGCGATCTCATTCCGGATATAGTATGAGTAATCACCATGTGACAAGAGTAAGTTTCAGTACAGGTAGGAGCTCTATACGTCATTGTGGCAACGAGATAAGACTTCTTACCAAAAAACAAATGACCAGACTTTAGCTCAAAATCTTCCAATTTTATACGATAGCTTTTTCTCTGATCTTTATACATACAGCATCGCCCATTATTGCCTTGTTCGTAAAATTTGATTTTATAAATACACAATGTACAGTGAAATATTTGTTGATTTAATCAGTAGATCGCCAAGCATTAAACATGGTTTACACTAAATAAAAAGATTTAACAAATGCAGAAAAGAATCGTATATGTATTTTAATGCACTGAACATTCATTTGTTGTTAGTGGCAGGGATCTTTTGATGCAAATTGTGTGTTTCTAAGTTTCTTGCAAAAAAGTTTCACGAGGGAAGTGACAAAATAGTTTGTCTCCTGTGAAAATTAATAAAAAAATCAATTCAACATTTTAATATCAACTAAACTAATTAAAACTAAATTCTTGTTCCAGTAAGTAAAGACAAATATGTTTGTTTTTAATCAAACTTTGTGAAAAATAGTTTGAAAAGATGCAAACGGTGGATGCTCAAATTGAATTATTTGACAAAGTTTAACACTTAGATTGCTATGTAATGTTTAAAATTCTACTTTAATTATATATTCCGATATTCATACAATTTTCTACGTGCATATTTTGTTCCGATAACCGAGTTACAGTGCATAATGAATTCTTAACTATATTTACAATCTCCCATAGAAATTACGATATCTAGGTTATGTATTTTAAACAAGCCAATTTGCTTTGATGCCTTCGTTATTTAGAAAGAGCTCAACCTTATTTAAACAAAACATTAGTTTTACCCAGTATCATGAAAATACCACGTTGTATTCCCCTTTAAACATCGTACAACAGAACTGATCTGATCTGTCTCATTAGTCCAAATAAAGATTTCTATTCCAGCTTTATATATGAGTGTTCGGATGGTGTTAACATGATATATAATAATCCGCCAATGATAAAGAATAGAGAAAAGTTGCTTTCAAAAATTGAGGAATGCTGAAATGAAGTCCCCATCCAAACCCTCGTATATTCGTGAATCCAAAGAGGTAGGACTAATATCCCTGTATTCGTTTTACAAACAAGGTCAAAATCTAAAAGTTCGTAATGCAATTTGAACTTTAAAGAGTTTATTTAAAAAAAGCGGAAGCTACCAGAGAGAAAAACAAAACTCACAAGTTGAAGAGAACTAACGCCATGGGAAAATCGACAGACTACGAAAAACAAATGAGTCTATCAAAACAATACATATAAAATTAAAGACTGGGCAACACGTACTGCACCAAAAACTAAAGATTATATCTAGTGCTTGGAAGGGTAAACAGATTCTGATACACTAGCATAAACTTATAATGTCCTTAAACAATTTAACATGTTTCCATTATATCAAAATGTAAGTCAGCTCTACATGCTGCTGTTGAAAACATACCTTTTGAAAAAGGCCCTGTTGTGAAATGAAGTAAGGGGAAATTGGCTATCCACTTTTGTTTTTTTATGTTTTGTGGACTTCTGTTTGTCTTTTATATTATTTTGTTTTGAAGATGGTGTTTTTTTTTTTTACTTGTTTTATTTGATTATCCTGTAGTAATCTTATAATCTGACTCAAAAACCCGTAAGTTAATGAGCAGTTTTCGATAGAAAATGAATTAAAATTTGTTTGTCGATTATACGTAACGGATTCATGATAAATATAAAAAAAAAACGTACACATCGGGACTTAGTTTATTATATATTAATGAATTTGTTTGATAATGTAGTAACGATTATAATTACCAGACACTTGTTTCATTTGACGTTAACCTCGTTTTCATGCTCAGCAGTTGATATCAATATGACGGAGAACGCAGGTTTACTCTTAAATCGTTGCAGAAAACTCGTTTTACTCTTAGGCTTCGACATTTTAAACGTGAAAAAACAAAACAAGTACAGAAATACTAGGTAATACTTTATCAAAGAATCGGAGGAAGTTTCTGAAAACAAACAAGTATGATATAATCTGTTAATTTGAATTGCATGGCTTCTTACACATTTATATCACTTTTTTCAATCTATGAATAAACGAATCCATATATGTTCTCACTAATGCTAGGTACATTTATAAAAATAATAACCATCACTTTCAAATCCGTCAAACCAAAAAAAAAAAGGGATTGGAAGATGATATGTAATTTTGTTTTGTTTTTCAAATATAACCGAAGAAACCTTGCTGTTAAACAACACTTTAATCTAATTCTTGCAAACGCAATAACATTTCCAGAATAAAAGTCATATTTTGAAAGCATTTAATAGAACGTTTGACCAATGCATGATATGTGTACCACTGATGTAGAAATGTTAAGTAATTAAAAGAACTTGTCATCTGAGATGTCATATAAATCACATGTTTTTCTAACAAGTTGAACATAAAATTGTACAATTCAGAACCTAACGAAACATGTTAACAATAGCACAATAGGTCAAACAGTCGCGTCGTTTGTAATAAACTTTGCACTAACGATTACTGTGAAATATTAACGTCATACTAAGTAAAGCTACATTGTTAGCCAAGGTGAATACATTTTTTTCGTTTAAGAAAAGAAGAAGATAGTTACGAGAAAAAATAGACTGCCATTTTTTGTTCTTGTCATTTTGCAAAGAAGTCATAACATATGATTATTAACAATAAAGGACTAAAGACATAGAAAATCTAGAAGATCAAATGACACCAAATGTGGATGCAAAATTCCGTTTATTTTTCATTAAAAGTCTTTTTGTTATCAGTTCTTTAGCATGGGATTAACTAAGTTTACAAAAGGTTTGTTTTACTTAAATTTGATGACACCTCAAAACTAACGCAAAGGTTTAGCCTCTGGCAGTTGGCAATTCTCTTTAAATAAATTGAAGATATTGCACCATCCTGAAATATCCAGACAACCTCCTTGTTGTCGATAATCAGATAAAATATATGCATGAGTGGTGATATAATCAATTACATTTTTTTCCAGTCAGAACAGTACGACAGATACTGTCAATCGGTTTGAATGAATGTTAATTCTTTCTTGTAAGAGCAAACTCTGCAACACTATTTCTTGTAGCAGCAGGAAAATTTCTTAACATTATTAGTCATTTAGAGCTCACAGATAAATAATGCATATCACATTTAAAGGAAATCAGAACAACAACTTTTGATAAAGACTGTTTGTTTTTAATATAAAAATCACAAATTAAATAATTTGATTTCTTCTACACTAATGATTGGACTGGATTGAAATTGTGCTTATATGTCAAGCGTACATATCCAATTTTCTTTTAATATAAAAAACTATAACCTACTCTGGTTTATCTAACATACCTAAATTAATCCCACGGTATAAATTAGAATTGAAATTCATCTTATTGTATGAACTTTTTGTATCAACAAAAAAAATAAAACAAATTATAAAATGACTTATCACTTTTATTTAATTAAACTTATTTTGAATAAAGAGCTAGTTTCGTCTTATCAAGGTTCCCCATGTGAACCATTCGAATAGGTAAGATAATAAAAGAAGATGATTATCAACAAATGAGTTAAATCCCTGAACAGACCAAAGAAAATTGCATTACACGTCTTATCTATCATTTGTACGTGCAATATGTAAGGTCGTTCAACTAAAGTTTGTTGCATTGTACTAATGTGTTACATTTGGTTGCAAACAAAGTCCGAGTAAAATCAAATCTGATAATTTCAACCCTCTGACGTCATACAACAATGGGTGGTGTCAAGAGTTATCGAAGGTACCAGGCTTATAATTTAATACGCCAGACGCGCGTTTTGTCTTCATAAGACTCATCAGTGACGCTCAGATCAAAATAGTAAGAAAGCCAAACAAGTACAAAGTTGAAGAGCATTGCTGACCCAAAATTCCAAAAAGTTGTGCCAAATACGACTAAGGTTATCTATGCCAGGGATAAGAAAATCCTTAGTTTTTCGAATAATTCATACTTTTGCAAACAGTAAATTTATAAAAAAAAATCCATAAAATTGATATTCATGTCAACATCGAAGTGCTGACTACTGCGCTGGTGATACCCTCGGGGACAAAACGTCCACCAACAGTGGCATCGACTCAGTGGTGTAAATAGTTATCAAAGGTACCAGGCTTATAATTTAATACGCCAGATGCGCGTTTCGTCTTCATAAGACTCATTAGTGACGCTCAGATCAAAATAGTTAGAAAGCCAAACAAGTACAAAGTTAAAAAGCATTGCTGACCCAAAATTCCAAAAAGTTTTGCCAAATACGACTAAGATTATCTATGCCTGGGATAAGAAAATCCTTAGTTTTTCGAATAATTCATACTTTTGCAAACAGTAAATTTATAAAAAAAAAAAAGACCATATAATTGATATTCATGTCAACACCGAAGTGCTGACTACTGGGCTGGTGATACCCTCGGGGACGAAACGTCCACCAGCAGTGGCATCGACTCAGTGGTGTAAATAGTTATCAAAGGTACCAGCCTTATAAATTAATACGCCAGATACGCGTTTCGTCTTCATAAGACTCATCAAGACAATATCGATGACGTTGCATATACACGAAATGTTATGCGTGGGAATATATAGTTCGTTGCATTTTCGTTTTGATATCCATTTAAATGGTCAAGCCCTTTTCAACTGATTTTTATAGTTTGTTCTAATTTTGTGCTGTAACACCACTGTCCCAGGTTAGGGGAGGGTTGAGTGCTCACAAACAAGTTTAATCCCGCCACATTCTTTATGTGACTGTCAGGAGCCAATAGTTTTGTGGTTGTCGTTGGTTAATTTGTGTCATATTTGTTTTTGGTAAATTATTTTATTATAAATGAGAACGTTAGTTTTCTCAATTGCATTGTTTCTTATTTTCATGTCGGGTCTTTTACAGCTGACTATACGGTACGAGTTTTTTCATTGTTGAAGGCCGTACGGTTCCCTACAATTGATTACATCCACTTCATTTGAACTTTGGTGGATAGTTGTCTCTACATGGCAATCATACCACATCTTCTTATTTTTATAATGTGATAAAAAGAATAATTATACTTAAG